TTTAGCTCCAAAATCACTATGCATTCCAAGATCTAACTACATGAATGCCTCAGGTCCCCTTGAATCCTCGTAGATTCTTGCTACCACAAACAAAATCACACATCACAATTGATTTACTAAGTATGCACTTCAAGAAAAATGGAAATATCCTTACCTTACCTTACTTATCTCGGGTTCACCAAACCGATCTTTCCTTTCCTTTTTCTTCTTCTTTTCTCTCCTTCCTTTCTTCCTTTCTCTTCCTTCTTTCTTCTCCTTTCTCTTTTCTTCTTGGTAGTGGACGGATCTTTCAAGGCCGAGCCTTGAAAATTTCTTTAGTTTTCTCCATTTTGTGCTCACATGGGCGGATTGCCCAAGATCACTTGCCTTTTGCCTTATTTTCCTCCCTTTTCTCTTTATTCTCTCTCATGGGCGGATTGCCCAAAGTTGCATGTCTTGGTGGCTTGTTCTTCTCTCTTTAATGTGTAAAGTACAAGGCAAAAGCCTTTAAAGTCTTTCAACGCGTCACATTCATTTTCGATGTCTTTTTCACTTTTATTTTCTTTGTTTCTTTATTCTATTCTTTTTCTTTTCATTTCTTTATTTGTTCCTTATTCTCATTGGACCAACTCAATCCCCACTTACATTTCATGTGCACATTATCTCTTTTGCTCATTGGTCCAAAATCTATCTTAATTGCCTTCCATTTGCCACTTTATTTTCTTACTTTTATTTTTTTATTTCCTTTGCCACCCATTTCTTCCAATTACACTTCATGCACAACTTTCCTTTATATTTTATTTGACCATTTATTCAACCAATTAAGTCTCATGCAATCCACATTTCACTTTCCTCATTTGACCACCAAATGCACCAATCAAATTTACATGCAAATAATCTTTAAATTTATCTTTCCCTTTTTCTTCACATAATGGGGGTCCCACATGTTCCCCACCAACTTCTCCTTTTATGCACACTATAGTTTGTATGTAATAGTAACTTTTACATGTACATCTCATATTCTACATAACTTAACTTTCCTTGATTAGTTAATATCCATTTAACTTTTAAATATTATAAATTACACTTAAGTCCTCAAACTTTTCTTTATTTACCGTGCGGCCTTCTAAACTTTCATGCCTTATAATTTGGTCCTTCCAACATGTTTTAAACTCTAATTTTCTTCTATTTTCCTTTTTTTATACGTGTATAAATATATTATAAGGTTTGTACTTAATCAAGGTGTCACCATAATATTTAAATATATACTTACCCGCTCGTATTCTATTTAATAAAGGCACGCGAGTTCCACTAATGTCTCTTTTCTTCCAAATTTCTTTCTTACTTCTTCTCCCTCACTTAGATTAGTCATATAATCCTCTTCCATGACTAATCTCAATAATAATT